GGCTCCGGACGGCTCTCCCCCTCGCTGCTGAGGGCGAAGCATCCGGGCAGGCGGCACCGAGCCGCTTGCAGTGCCCGCGACATGCTCGCGCCAGGCGCGGGGGGGTCCGCTCTGCTCCCCTGTGCCAACCCCGAGTCTCTGCAGTGAGGCAGCTGAGCTAACCCCAGAAAGCCTCCCCCGCAGGCTTAGAGAAGCAGATTTTCATGCTGCAGGATAACGCATAAATATTTACATGAATGCTGCATGCGTGCATGCATGGGGGCAACGACTGATCAGCAATAGCAAGTTTGTTTTCCGAGAAAGCCTTATTTGAGATGCAACTAGACAATTATTTTGCAGGGCCAGTAGGGATATATTTTACATACGCATATAGAAAGATTTACCTCAAAAACATCAAGAGAAAGGCAGTTCATGACAAAATACTATTGTTAGAGACCTACCTTGACATCCAGCACAAGCAGTCTCCGCTGCCAGCCTGACCGATGTTTGTGTGTGTGTTGCTGTACGTTTTGAGATGAGACTCTGGAGAGCGCAGATGCGCTCAACTTTTTTTCAAAGCTGGATTTTCAAACCAAATGAAATGATGTGCATAGAGTTTAATAGGAAAAAAAACAAAAACAAAAAACAAAAACACAAAGCAAGTACATTCTTGTATATTAGCATTACTATAGAAAATAGGCAGCAAAATGGCAATACTTTTTTAAGGCGAGACAGATTTGTAATATATTTGTTCACTGTGCAAAGGTATTCTACCTTGTACACAATAAACTGGATTTCTCTCAATATGCATTTCTGAAACGTACTCATTTGCAGACGAAAACCAACCAATGTTCAGGCCTGTTCTCCATGGGATGGGGCTGGTTACAAAGAAACCATCCAACTCTGCACAAAAACCCTCTGGAAGCATCAGGCTTTACAAGCCAGAGGACGGTTTCTCTCTTGCAGGATTTCTCAGAAAACAAAATGATGCAATTCAGACAGGAATTTGCAGTTAACTTCTAGTAAGGCCCAGTTTTAAACAAAATCTAACTGGCATAGTAGGTATCTTTCTTGTAATTCCTCTGGTAGCTCTTGTTTCCCAGCAGTTCAACCTTAGCAGGTCTCAGTGGGAGACGGCAGCGATGCGAGAAGCCACCCGTACAGGTGCTCACGCACCCACAAAGGGCAATTTGAGGTGAGTGGAAACACCAGGTCTCTCTCTGATTTTCACGCAATATATTTCAGTGCGGGTCACGGCAGCGCACAGCTCTGCCACACCACGTCCCACTGCCACCAGCGGGTTGTCCGCCGCTAGGTGGGGAGGAGCCGGGCCTGAACGCCTGCCCTCTTGCACACGTCAGTGACGAGACTGGGCACACTGCAGCCGCTTCAGCAGGTTTGACTGCTCCCAGGGGGCCTACTCGCTCAAGTACGAGCTCAGATTTGCAGCAGAAACACTTCCAGATTTAGTAACGCCAAGGCAATGCAAGGGACTGCTACATTTTGAAGCTTTTTCAATATTTGTGCTTCATATTTCTAAAAAATCTTGTTAAGTAAAGCCCAGCATGTAATCCTCTTATTTGACAAGCCACACTCAATAAGCTATTTAAGTCTGGAAATTCATCAGGTTTAAATTGATAGAATAAGTAATTCTAGCTTAATAAAAATGTCTTTAAATCAGAACAATTCCATGTCCTTTCTGCTTAAGGGTCACAACCTTGACACCCATA